TTTTTGGTCTCGTGTCATTACGGTGCCTCTTCATTCTGGCCCTGCGTTTTTTGTTGGTGTCTCGGCCTATGGTGGCATCGGCTAGTTTTGTTTGCCCGCCATAGCACAGGTGCCTTTTTTTTCGAAGGTCCGCGCTTGGTTGGCCTAGGCTGAGCCCCATTTTTTTTTTCCCCGCAGGTCCGTTTTCTCTATTTTTGTGTCGAGGCCATTTTTTTTTTTTGTCACGACGCTGGACCCTCCGTAACTCTCTCTCTTGTGCCCCCTTGCGGAGTGGACTGGTTCCTTTTTTTTCTTTTTTAGCTCCGGTGTCACCACGGTGCCGCTCCATTTTGACCTTTCTTTTTCTTACTACAACATTTTGGCCTAATGTGCTAGTAGTACCGTTTTGTTTGCCTTGTATACCACAGGTACTTTTTTTCCAAGGCCTGCTCTTGGTTGGCCTGGACCGAGCCTGCTTTTTTTCTTTTGCCTACCGGTACCTAGTTGTCTAAACACCAGTTTCACCTCATTGTTGTTGACGTTCGTTGATGTTTTTCGTTGTCTTCATCTTCAGCCTCTCCGTTTTCACCTTCTCCTTTGTGCTTCGTGTCCCCATCAACACCTCCTTGTCCTTGTGCTCTCCACGTGTGTGTGACCTTCTTCAACGCTTAAGCATCTGCAAAAGCCTGGGCACAGGGGATGAGCGAGAGAGAGAGAGAGAGAGAGAGAGAGAGAGAGAGAGAGAGAGAGAGAGAGAGAGAGAGATCGTGCGGGAGACAGGAGCGCAGGGACAGAGAAAGAGTTGTTGGGGGGAGCTGCAGTGGAACTTCTAAAGGTACTTTATTCGTTGACTTACCAACCCTTCCCCTCCCCCTTCCTTCTTCATTTTTTTCTTCTTTTTCTTCTTCTTCTTCTCTTTCTTACTTCTCTCTTTCTTTTTTCTTTCTTTCCTTCTTTTTTTATTTGTTTTTTTCGAAAAATAACAAAAAAGGTGGGAGGGGGGGAGGGAAAGGGTGTAATTTTCACTTTTAAATGCAAAGTCAGGTATCCCTCGAATACAACACATCCCCACCCAACCCTAAAGCTGCGTTGTATACATTCACGATTTTCGTCACTTTGGAGCAACAGTCACGAAAACGTGACTGTAACGCATTTAAAACTGAAAACCATGACTGCGCCCTAGTTTTACCTTTTATTTTTACGAAAAAAAATAAAAATAAAAATAAATAAATAAATAAAAAAAGAAAGAAAGAAGGAAAGAAAGAAAAGAAGAAGAAGAAGAAGGTGGGAGGGGGGGGGGAGGGGAGGGTTTGGCAGGG